ATACGCTGATAATGAAAGGGATGCTGCATGTCCTCATTCAAAGTCCTCCCGACAACTTCATTCGAAACCCCTAACTGACGACCAATGCCGCGGGTACTTGAGGTTGGATCGTATTCAAAAATGTCCAAAATTTGTTGTTCTATGTTTATAATTCTGAGAGGTCTATTCTATTCCTACCGGCATCTCGGCCTCTGTGAGTGCATATTTCACCTGTATCGCGGGCTCTTTGGAAATGTGCGACAAATCTCTGCGACCACGGGGATGAACACAATTAGGAAACCGTTCTGCACAAAGGCGAGAGGTGTCCTCAGAATTTTGTTGCGTTTCCCCATAAATTAGAAGCATATCTATCAGTTCGTTATTTCCATACACGTGGGCGTATGTCATTTTGAGGAATCAAAATTATTCAATACAAGCACAATGCACAAATGAAACTAAAAGGTTTTCATAGTCTTACACAAAAAGCACAGCGAAATAAAAACACATAGTTAACCGACCGACTAAAGGGTGAAAACTGTCATAATTCGCAATTATAGGTCATATATCATTCATACTACCTGTCATGGTCAAAGCTGGTAATCTAACCCTGGACGTCACTTCCGTTTGGGTAAGTACACCTCACTTATCACCTGCCTTTGGGATTTTCTACTTCTGCATTCATAATGGTAGTTAAAGCTGAACTTGATTTATTTACAAATAATGAGATAATTATGTGAAATATGGTAATGAGAACATTCAAATTACAAATTGGTGGAGTGGAGGTCGGAAGTACAAAATATCCCTCTAATGTGTGAATGAAGAGCTTTTTTAAACTGAATTTGATGTGGGAATCCCCTTTTTGTAGTTTGATGGTTAATTCAATAGAGAATGTAGCAAGTTGCCTTAAACACGTTTTAAATAACATTTGGAATAAATATTTACGTGACGATGGAATTTTGCAGTACGAGCTAAGCGAGATCCCACAAAACACAGAGTTACACAAAATGCGTTTCCTAACGTGTTACGTGCAATATTTTTTCTAATTTTGATGAAAACTTCCGCTTGAACAGAAATTATGACCAGTTCTACACTCGGTTCTACAAAAGTTCTACCCATGTTCTACCGATTATGTACAAAACTTATCACTTTTAGTAGGCAAGTTGACTTCGCCCGTCACTTTGAGGTAACCGTCAAACAATAACATGGTCTCAAATCAGCGACAAAATTCAAGAAATAGACTCGTTTGATATTGACATTAGTAGAAATGGCTGATACAAGTTCAAATTTCCCAAGTGATATCGAGGAAGCAGCACAAATGACACTAATATAAACAATTCATCACCAGTTATGTAATATCTTAGCTCATGCAGTGTATAATCTCTGGCTCATGCAACTGGTTACGTGAAGTAAGACATTTTAAAACTTCTGTCAGTTCTGAAAAGTGTGAAATTACATGTCAAAATTAGGCGTAAGCCTTTTCTTTGGCGTCAGCCTAAAATTTGCATACCTGTACTGTAGATAACCCTTTCCAGACATAACGTAAATTACTATCATCCTTATTTTCTTTCGTAAGATTCTTCTTGTATGTCTTACTTGAATCGTATCTGGAATTGTTTTTTTTTAATAGTAACACTTTTCAAAATGTCTACATCATACTTTTCGAACCTCACGTCTTTCAAATAACAAATGAAAAATATTGTCTCACAAAAATTATTGAACGTCCGGCAACATTGCGTGCACCTGCTTCGAACCCTTGGTTATAAGGGTCAAACTCTTCATGCAGTCGGCCGCATTTGTGAGGGCCGTTAAACTCTGGGAAGTTATTCTCAAAAGTTGCTGCAAAACTTAGAATGGCAAAATATCTTCCAAAATAATTTTTTTACAAAAATGTATTCTTTCAATTCGTTTCGTCTTTTCATGTTCTATTACCCATTTCATTTATTACGCCAATTTCGGAAACACCCGGTATACATATTTAATGCATAATTGATTATACATTCTTGTAAATTTATATACCTATTTCTACACTTTGTCGTCAATGAAAATTTCATTCTTTGTTTTCATTTATTCATTTTAGCTCGAGGTTGTGTTGTCTTCCGACGCGTAGCGGAGGGAGACAAAAAACCGTGAGCTGAAATGACACCTGCGTTGCAGTAATCAAATATCTGTAAGTCTAATTCTGTGATTTGATTGCGAACTCAGTAGTTGTTTAGAAATTTATGTGACTGCGAAGTAGAACGGAAGATAAAATTACTTGCAGTTCTTTCTCGGACACGGTGTTATTGGAATATTTTTCGGAACTAGCACAACAAAAGCCATCAACAGTGTATATACAGGGTGATTCATAACTATTGGGACATAGGCTAAGGGCGGATTGTTAGGACCAAAATATGGCGATTGGACCAAACATGTCTCAATAAAATTGTAGCATTTGAATTTGCTACGAGATAATATTAGCTAATTATTTTGATGAAACTTATCAAATTACAGTAGAGTAGCACTGTGGTGTGCTAAGATTTGTTTTTATTTTTCTTTGGTGTAATAAACATAGTTTTCAAATTCTTACCTTATGAATTTGAGAAGAAACCATACTCACAGTGAACATTCAGTCTGACATATAGTAAATAATCCTTGAGTAATAGAACATTTAATTAAACAACCATATCATATCACACACAGTTTTGAATTAGATCTTTTAACAATCAAATTCCAATAGTAGAGTACTCATTTCTTCTGATATTCTATGTGCTAATAGGAAGTGATGATGTAAGCTGCAGGAGTCTTTGATTTCTGGCGTTCTGATCCTAAGGCCCTAGAATCGAAGAAAATATTTAATATTGTAATCCATTCAAAAGTAGACAGACAACTTACCGTTGATGTTCTCCAGGGCGATAAATCCTATTTCGCTGGAATATCTCAGGATTAATGATGTTGTTCATTCTGAATTGGTTTCAATTTGGATAAATTTCTTTGTTTATTTTTGGGATAATATTTCAGGTTATATTTTCATGTGTCATCAGGATGTCACTGTCACTGTTGTCATACTGCAGTCATTGTGGACTGTCATTGGTCTTCTGTGAAGGATTTGGAGATTATTCCTATGAAGACAGAAGAAGAAGAACAATTCTTCTTAATAATTAGGGCGTAAGCATTTCTTCGACCAATAGGATTCTTGGATTTCATATTTGGCGCTGATTTGGGATTTTAACAGGAAACTTGGGTTTTTGACTAGTTAAATCGAGGGTAGGAGAATTTCCAGCACGTACCTACCTCACTTTTTCTCGGTTAGCGATGGTGGCGTGCACTTGACCTGTGAAAAGTGATTTTGATTTTCTCGGTGTAAACCGTAGAAACCCTTAGGGGTATTTGATTTTGGGAAGCCGTTGCTTACCGGTTAGTGGATGGAATCTCCGTCAGGAAGCCAATTGTGGGATTTGTTCCTGGAGACTGCCATGAAGTTTTAGAAGCCATGCAGCCCGGCCTGTTGCAGTCCTTAAAAAGCAAGATCTAAAAAATTCTTCAATCCTACCTCCCTTCTCAGAAGGGTGCTAGGGTGCAGCTTAGCTGTGCTTCGGACTCCTGGTAGCGACCGGCCCTCAGGATACTCTACTCTACACTTGTCAAGATCCCCCAGTGGATCTGAGTAATCCTGCAAGGTCTTCGGATCTTGGCCAGAGTCGACCATGGAGACACCAGATGGAGCCCAGTAGCAGCTGGTAGAGACTGACCCCTGGTTATACTGCATCCTGGAACTCTGCTGACCGTGGAGGTTCAGCATTCCTCGTTGTGTTGTCTTCACCTGCAGTGACCTATGCTGCACATCTACATACATACCACTTGGGACCTTGGATAGGGGTGATCTGGACCATTGCAGAGGACCCTTGGACCACAATCAGGTTTTTTTGTTCCACCTTCAGTGTTTCACATTTTGCTATATAATTATCTACATTTTTTTTCACATCTGAGACTGGTTGAGTAATCACCTTTTTTTACAGTATTAATTCACAAACTGGTGAAGCTCTTGTGAAGCTCTCCCATAGTATACTATGTGACTGCGGTTGCTTAACAGTTCATTGCGCTATCATTCCTTGACTAGTTATACAGTCCGTTTTATAGTTGATATAGGATTGTTACTATACTTATTTTCACTTATTCTAAAAATATGGTAATTGTCCTGGTATAGGTAGGAAAATTATGATAGAACCACCATGCAATTTACTTAACCTACACTATTGCAATAATACAGTACTTTAGTGATTATTTTTCATCATGAAACTGCAGGCCTCTACATAGGTCCATATATAACCTTGTCTCTGGTGGTGTGAAATATAATAGGTCTTGAATTTTATGTTGGTTTTCATTCTTCCATATGTCCAGCCCAGCCTTCTGAGAAAATATACTTTGAACAACTTTCAGATTTTTGAAAAACAGATTATTTGGAAAGAAATTTGGTTTTCTCAATTATCCAAATTGTAGGATTTTTATAAATTGAGTGGCGTCCAAGAACTTGAATTTTCTTCACCATCTAGCCTATAATTCGAACTCACTTATCTGTTCTCCGATGTACAGCTGCCGATAGCAAATGTGTTTGACTTTTTAATAATTCCATCCTTTTATATTAAAAGTTGGCCACAAAATATTGCTGTGAAAAGAGATACAGGGCGTTAAAGTTGATTTTTTTCGTTTTTTGTCGTTTTTTTGCTAATAATTTCACTGTATATGGAATATATTTGAAGAAGTTTTGTGATTTGGTTGTTTTCTGTCTAGATATTAGATATATTACAATTCATACCTTCTGGTTGCATCCCGCATTTATCCATTCATAAAATGATTGTGACGAGGCATTTTGATCGAAAAAATTTTGACTAGAGTTTTTCCCGTGGGCAAAGAGTAATTTATGAAGAGTGACATTTTATAACCTGTCAACAGAGATGCGATGTCAAACTTTTTTCCCGTCACAGAAAATAGTATATTTTGATTGATTGATTGCTTATATTCTACCATCCTTGAATTCTACTCACATGCGACTGGTACTCCAAGATGGGCACCTCCCCCCGTCCATCTGGCCCGAACTGTCTCCGCACCGCCGCATACCTGACGGCGATCGTGAGCGCCTTGACGCCCAACGTCTCGCAGATGCAGGCGATGTTCACCCGACCGGCGGAGAGGGAGCCCAAAGCGGCGCCGTGACGCTTGTTCGGGTCCTTGATGGGACTGACGTACCTGCCATCTTCCGTCACGTCAGCCACTTTGTTCAGAAGGTTCTCGCGGGGGATTTCGTAATGGTTGAATTGGAGGAACCTAAACAACAACATTGCTTTAGTTCGTTATTTTCCGTTCCTTCTTTTCATTTTCCATTATTTTTTGTTATTTCTCGTTATTTTTCGTTCGCATTCTTTGTATTCCATTACTTTTCATTACTTTTCGTTATTTTTTGTGGTTTTGCTATGATTACCAAACCGGCGGAAAGGGAGCCCAAAGCGGCGCCGTGACGCTTGTTCGGGTTCTTGATGGGACTGACGTACCGACCATCTTCCGTCACGTCAGCCACTTTGTTCAGAAGGTTTTCGCGGGGGATTTCGTAATGGTTGAATTGAAAGAACCTAAACAACAACATTGCTTTAGTTCGTTATTTTCCGTTCCTTTTTTCATTTTCCATTATCTTTTGTTATTTTTTGTTATTTTCCGTTATTTTTCGTTCTCATTCTTTATATTCGATTACTTTTCATTACGTTTCTTCATTTTTTGTGGTTTTGCGTTATTTTTGCTATGAATACCAAACCGGCGGAAAGGGAGCCCTGTCACCAAACATGGCTTTCTACTCTAAAAGTTATTAAAAGTATCAATAATTATCGTTTCATTCATTAGAAATGAAATAAACTAGAAATGGTTAAGTTTTGTAGTCATTTAAACTTTAAACCAATCGGCTTCTAGATTTCATGAAAAACGCTGTAGGCGGAGCCTAAGAGAGTGCGAGAATTTTAGTTCCAACTGCGCGATTTGGAATTAGCCAATCAGCGCGCAGAGACTGCGAGAACGCGGTAGGCGGAGCCTAAGAGCTTTCCGCGTGTAGGGATAAATATCGGCCAAATTGCCGCTAGCGACAGTTCTGTTCTGATTCGATTTCGTTACCTATAAGGTTAGAGTTCCGATTCGACTCCGCTACCTATATGGTTGGTAGTGTTTTTAATAGTTCTGAGTGAACTACTAGTATTTGAGTTGCGACTCCACATCACTCCCATAGGGTTGGATGTGTACTATTATAAGAAGAAGCCGATTGATATTTGAGAAGATTAATCCAAAAGGGATATTACATAGAAGAAGCCGATTGATATTTGAGAAGATTATCCAAAGGGAATATTACATAGAAGAAGCCGATTGATATTTGAGAAGATTATTCCAAAGGGATAGAAATATTAGAAGAAAGCCGTTTGGTATTTCCGACGATTATTCCACCAGGGTGGATGAAGAATAGAGGTCTACAGCCAGCTCTTGAATACGAACCAAAGTGGGTGACCAACCAAATTGGTTGGATTAGAATTCGTTGCTCCAATGAGAAAACTGTCCTAATGGGACAAAATCAAAGGTCATCATTCCCACCTACCGAATAAAGATCCTAGTCCTCCCTTATCTTATTGCAAGAAAGAAGAGCTCCAGTACGGTACCAAGGCTCCAAGACTAAGGACCTTTGTGGTTGAGCCTGGCCACATCCCTTGGTACCTCGTCGTAGCAACCACTGGCATTCCGGAATGCCTTCTGGTGCCGTCTAACTCTAGGGATACGTTAGTAGCCAGGAGGTGAAAGCATTGCACTTCCCTAGGGTGACGTTAAACGCCTTTAGTGTAGCTGCGGGACACACGGTTCGCGTCGGGAATTAGGGCAGGATAATTTTAGGGACTTAGAGGCCTTCAGCCTTGATAGGACTAGGCGATAGGGAACCCCCAGTACCCGGTGCAACGCCGACGTGGTGGTCTGGGCGAGTTTGACGGAAGCTTAGCAGCTCTAGTATTAAGGTTAGCTATCTTCTAGGAAGTTAGGAACCTTAGGCAGGGGTAGTATTGTGGGAATTGTCCTGTGAGGTTAGGATTTACCTCACAGTCAGCTGTAAGGTGGGCTATAGTATCCTTTCCTTGTTTGTAGGAAATTGGGGCCTATTCGGAACTATAAACTTTCGGGAGGGTCGGACTGCTGTCAATTATTCCCTGAGTTTGGCTTTGTAGTCGTGGCAAAAATACTTAGCATTATTTTCGAGATAAAATAATGAACCCTGACAGCCCCAACAGTCCGATTTTATCTCAACCCAAAGCGGCGCCGTGACGCTTGTTCGGGTCCTTGATGGGACTGACGTACCGACCATCTTCCGTCACGTCGGCCACTTTGTTCAGAAGGTTTTCGCGGGGGATTTCGTAATGGTTGAATTGGACGAACCTAAACAACAACATTGCTTTAGTTCGTTATTTTCCGTTCCTTTTTTCATTTTCCATTATTTTTTGTTATTTTTTGTTATTTTCCGTTATTTTTCGTTCTCATTCTTTATATTCGATTACTTTTCATTACTTTTCTTCATTTTTTGTGGTTTTGCGTTATTTTTGCTATGAATACCAAACCGGCGGAAAGGGAACCCAAAGAGGGGCCGTTGAAGCTTGTGTGGGTCCTTGATGGGACTGACGTACCGACCGTCGTCCGTCACGTCGGCCACTTTGTTCAGAAGGTTTTCGCGGAGGATCTCGTGATGGTTGAATTGGACGAACCTAAACAACAATATTGTTTTAGTTCGTTATTTTCCGTTTCTTTTCTTTATTTTCCATTATATTTTTGTTATTTTTCGTTATTTCTCGTTTTTTTTTCGTTGTTTTTCTTTATTTTCCATTACTTCTCGTTATTTTTCGTTATTTTTCATAGTTTTGCGTTATTTTTGCTATGAATACCAAACCGGCGGAAAGGGAAACCAAAGAGGGGCCGTTGAAGCTTGTATGGGTCCTTGATGGGACTGACGTACCGACCGTCGTCCGTCATGTCGTCCACTTTGTTCAGGTTTTCGCGGTGATTCAGGAGTGGATACAATGTTCTATCTATATCCACTGTACAGGAAGGACTGCTATTGTCTCCGTTCAAAAGAATGCATGCAGATTCCTTGATTTTTCACTTTTGGTTAGGTTTGATATCAAAATTATTTGAAAAATAATACAAGTGATTATTCTGAAATACAATTGACGCTTTCTGAAATTTGAATGCTGAAATAAAATTGACGCTTGCTGAAATACAAATGGGTATTCTGAAATACATTTGGAAAAGGTGTAGTTTCCCATGCGTTTATTTGGAGTTTAGTACGACGTTCCAGCATAGAGATCAATTATCGTTTCTATTATCTTTATCTGGAAGCTCGACCCATGACTCAAAATAATTGATCTGCATGTATGTAAATATTATTCTCTATCAACTACTTAACACCAACAAATACTGTATACAAAACAACAAAATTAAACAAACTGAATGAAATCTTAAGTTTAGAGCAATGTAAACACACATACAAAATAGTGAATCAGATACCTATAACAAAAGAAATCAAAATAACAGATACCTTCCAAATATTCGAACAAATGTTGCACTAAATAATCCTATGAACAGGTGCATACATGTATATAATTCAATACCACAAGCATTTAATGATATACAAAATGAAAAGTTATTTGTTAAGGAAATTAGAAAGTTCCTGGAAAATTCAACTGTATAAAAATCAATATTAATTCGATAAATTACTATACATGTTATCCTAATCTAAATAACTCCGAAAAAAATAAAGAGGTTATTTTGTGATGAAAATGATAAACCTCTTCCCGGAAAAGTAACCTAGATTAAAATCGTGCTACTTCTCATGAGAGTATATCCTTTAATAATGGTGATCTCTCAGGTTGATTTGGGCGCGTATTTCAGAAATATGCAGAAACGTCACTAACGGCGGTTTCTATAATGATCCGGTGCACTTGGATAACGCTCACTATGAATCTATCCACTGTACATCAATTCCGAAAATGTCTGAAACCTATCCTAACCTATTTGCTAAATAAGGTGGGCCTGTTACAAGGTTGATAGTGGAAAAAAAAGACAAATTTTTCTCACCCGTTATCGATACCGTTCAGCCCGAGCTTCTCCCCCATATCCCCGACAATGACGCCCGGATACGGCAACAGCGTGTTCGGGTTTCGCAGAGGCACCACGAAAGCGTGCAGCCCATACTTCTCCCCCTCGATGACCAGCTGCGCGTACACGGTGGCGAACATGGCCGTCTGGCCCAGCCCGCCCGCCCAGCACTTGGCCGCCTCGAAGTCGGGCGAGTGCAGGACGAATTTCTTCTTCTGTTTGTCGTAGGTGGCCGTGGTGCGCATGCCTCGCGCGTTGCTGCCGTGGCCGATCTCGGTGAGGCAGTAGGCGCCGAAAATCTGGAAATAATTGTCGGAAGATGAGCCACTGATAGGAACTACTATCTAGACCTCAGACTAAATAACGATAGACACTGCGATTCACTCATGAATCATTGAAAAATGCACGATGGAGAAAACTCGAGTGATAACTCTAAGGAATCATTGCCAGGTAACTGGCAGTACAAGAGCCGGGATTGGCGCAGTGGAAGAGCGTCCGTCTCACGACCGCAAGGTCGTGGGTTCGATTCCCAGCACGAGCAAGGAACTTTTTTCGATATTTTATTCACGAATTGAATATTGTAAAGTTTCGGAGCATCGGCTGGAGATAGTTCTGCTCCCAAAGTGGCGCATGGAGTTAGTAACAAAGCCTACACAGAACACGCAGAAAGTAGTGGACCTCGGTCTCTAACGGGGGTTAACGAGGATAGCTAGCAGGCCTGCCACTGCAGCATATGGTAGTGAGTACATTACTAGCCTACAAAACACAGCCGAAAAACTCTGAAAGAGAGCTGATGGGCGGTGCCTGAAAAGGATGTTAGCCAGCTCTCTTATGCAAACCACATCAGTCATTGAAAACACCTTGGGGTTTGCAAAAAGGTCCCATTAGGGACTAGTTGCTGACGTGCAAACGTACCCCATCAGTACCAGTAGTAGTGGCAGTACAAAAACCTACGAACGTGCGTATTTATTGTAACATAACCTATTTCAAGCTTAGTAAAGACATTCATAACATAAATACACGCCAGAATGGCTTAATACACACACAAATTGGAAAATACAAAATAATCCAAAAAGCACCGAACTATACAGAGAAGAAAACAACAAAAACTGGGTGGTAGCAAGTATACTAAATTGCTCATCAATAATTGACCAAACAATTTATGTTCTATCACTTCCGATTTCACCGGAAACGACTCCAACTTTTGATTTTTGAATGAGACACCCTTGTATTTCATTCAATAATCGGTAAGGGTATCATAGCGAATTCTGATACCGGGGTTGATAGGGTTATTTCAAACGATTACGAAGATATTCGCGTTCTAAGTTTCCATATTGGTATTGGTATAAGTGTGGATGGTGACAGATGCGCCGCGACCTGATTAGATCTATTGTGCCCCATCTTCTACTGCTATCTCAAGGTTTTCTTGTTTATAGCAGCCCCTCAAGCTTCAATTCATTTAGGAATCTGAAGAAGTTTCCATAAGTTGAATGAGTGTGACAGAGAAAGAAGTTTCGACATTGCGAAGGCACACCCATTGAGTATATGGACATTCAGAACCCAAATATCTTCGTGATCATTTGAAATAAACTTATCAAACTCGGTATCGTTGAATTTGTCATAATAATTCCTAACCGATTATGGGATAAAATACAGGGTATCCCATTTAAGATGCAGCAATGGTCGTTTTTTGTGCATTTCTAAATTGTTCTAAAATTGTTCTTATCCATCAATCGGTTGTCTCCTTACGTGCATCCCTAAAAAGTCTTCAAGAGACTTGTGCGAGCACGGAATGAAAGGGGTCTTTTCTTTCAACTTGTGATCCCACACACTTTCTCAGGCCATCAGAAAAATTTCTGCGGTAATCCAACGAAGATAGAAACTGAAAGTTCTGAGAGGCTACGCTGGCCTCTCTATGTAAATCAAGTTTGACACTTACTAAACATTTTCAAAACGCGCCTTAAAACATTTTTGATACAATAGTATATTGTGTGAAAGTTTGTGGCGCGAGCCTGAAGGGCGAGTGATGCAAACACACGAGTGAGAAAAGTGCTTTTCCCCACATGTTGCACACTATACTTTTTCTACAACTGCACTTATCCAAAGAATTCAAGTAATTATTGGTATTCTTTTTATAATGTGGCACTATGCCACATTGAATATTGTGACCAAAGAGTAGACGCCTTTCCTAGTTCCTCAAAGTATTTCAAAAAAGTACACTTTCCGAAAAAGTTTTCATTTCTGTATTTTTTTTAGATTCCATACATTTTTCGTATATGCCAATTCATACTTTTTTCTTGAAATTTCCGGAAACAAATCCAATTATCGCAGCTTTTTCCATTATCTCTGACTCTGGCGGTGTATTTATCAAAATCGTCACATCTCGGTAAACACATCATATTATTTACTATGATAATATTTGATGCGATTTCTATCAAAAGCACTAATGAGAACTATACTGAAGAATTTAAAAAAACTTCTTCTGACAGTTGTGACAACTATTCAAAGCTGAACACCAGCCAATTAAGTTTTGTTGATTCACCATGGAAATGTATGTGGTGGTGTTGGCAAAGTGCCGTGAAAAAAAATATTTCTCACAGTATGAGCAATACATGGTTTTGAAACTAAGTAAGCAATGAGAAATGCGCTACTTTTCGTAGCAGTAGTAGACAAAATAGTTTTTATACTGTGCAAGATTTCTTGAATTTGTCCGGTACAGTAATATTTTTTGCATTGTTTTTCGTTTCTGTTTTCAAGTCCTGAAACACTTGTATCTTGTTAAGAAAGACGATATTGGCGTGAATCAAAAACCATTATGTTAGGAAGGAGCCCTACTTCAATCCACTCACTTTTGCCACATGACGTTAAGAAGTTATACAGTGTGACCCACTTTTAATGGAAACACCCCTGTATCTTACGTAATCGTTGGGTAGGAATCCTGAAATTTGCTGGAGCGAGCAACATACCAAAAATGCACTGTATTACCAAGTGGAGTCATCTTCAGTGATATACACTGCTCGCCAACAGTCATGAAACCACCCCAATTTCCTGAAAATGATATTAGGAGTCAAAATAGGTCGAAAATTACTTCAAATTCGGAATCAGGACGCCCAATGCAGTAACTATTAATATTTTTTCTGGAAAATTTTCAGTTCTGAAAAATTAAATTTTGTCGCACTTTTTACGGACGCACCCCCGTATCTTACGTAATTGACTTTTTCTATGGACTTTCCCTTCCTTCTGCAAATAACAGAATCCTACCTCAATAATTACGTGAGATAGGGGGGTGCTTCCATAAGAAGTGAGACAAAATTCAATTTTTCTGAACTGAAAATTTTCTGGGAAAACTATGAATAGTTAGTAAATTGGGCGTCCTGATTCCGAATCCGAAGTGATTTTCAACCTATTTTGACTCCTAATATCATTTTCGGGAAATTGGGGTGGTTCCATGGCTGTTGGCGAGCAGTGTATATCACTGAAGATGACCCCACTTGGTCATAGAGTGCATTTTTGGTATATCTCTCGCTCCAGCAAATTTCAGGATCCTTACCTCACCATTACGTAAGATACAGGGGTGTTTCCATTAGAAGTGGGTCACACTGTATGAGTGTGAAAGAGTGGGTTTTGTTTCTCCCTGAATATAATGATCAAGCCATCCAAAGATATCATGCCAGTAATTTTTTTGAGCAAATTCGAAGAATCTTGGTAAACACACTCTAGAAAACGCGATGAGTGTTAAGTATCTTTCAAACGAACTCATCTTATCAAATTCAGGGATTCTGATAACATACAGTAGTTGTCATAAGATATATCAAATTAATCAATTAATATAATTTAGATGATATCAAAAAGATCGCAATAAAGATAACTTCGAAACCAAAGTTATAATCAGAAAACTGATAAATAGTCGTTCTAGATTAAGGTATTAATCCAATCACATACGATAAAACCAAAGCTCAAGATTAATCTGTACAAACAACTGATATTTGATATCATAACAATGGATGTCATGTTAATGAGATTGTGGGAACTCAGATTGGTGTTCTTGAACGACGAGATACGAATACTTTTTATTTCAGGAAATAATTGATTGAAAACTTCCCTCATAGTCCAAAGGGCTCTGCTACGATAAATTGAATAAATCATTTTGCAGGAAATACATTTTGTACAATTTTTTAATTCCAAAACGACAAACTATATCGAGTAATATACATATAAAATATGCTTCCTTCCATAGAAAGTTAATTCTTCACTATCTAATGTGAGGGGCATTTAGTGGTAAGTTGACCATAGGTCGGTTCTAGGTAATGGGCTGTGAGTGACAATTGTCTATTGAATTTATAGAAAGTATGTGAACATGTATTGAGAGTCAAAAAAATTCATTATAAGAAAGGCGACAATTAGGACAATATATTTTTCAAGATATTTTTACGATTATCTTAATAGCGAAAATAGGCCTGTTTCAGTTGCATCATATCATAGACACAGCAGGTATTTGCTAATGCAAAAATCTAGACGCCACCTGGTGGTGAAATTGTGAACCTACCTAGTGAGTAATTGGAAATGAATACATCATATAATTAAATTAGTAGTCGTCGTTGTTTTGGGTGTGTAATCATTATCTCACAAAGCTCTTAAACGATGGGACCACACCGATTCACTGTACAAACAAGAAATATTACTCACAATCCTCCATTGTTTTTTACGTCTCGCAGCGCACTCATCGCGAATATTTCTGATTATCATTTACTATATGATTTTTTTGACAATGACATTTTGACATGAACTATACCTTCCTATATTCATGACGGTCTATTTGACACTTAGGAAGAACAAAAAATTGATTGTCTTGTTAATAATGGGTTTTGTGATTCATTCAACTTGATTGCTAGAGATGTTTTGAGTGTTAGTTTTTGACCATATATTTCCTATGTATAGGTAATGTTTCTAAAGGTTATTTTTTATGACAATCTGGACAAAATGTGAATGATATGTTTTTTGTACACCACTTATACTTTAATCAGGTAATAAACTTGATTCGATTTGATTATGTTAAGCATCGGTAATATAACATACCTTCTTCCATATTATGGAAGAAGGTATGTTTGGCAACTATTTGCTTGGAAACTTTTTCTGGCCGTTTCTATCAACATCAGAAGTAGAAAACAGTAGTTGGAAGCAATTATTCTGAACAGGAATATTCTCAGATGGAAATTTGCTTTACAGACCTCTAATCACATATAATTGTGATTGGGTTTTCTCAATTCAAAATGTCTTTCCAGGACCTGTATGGTGAAGACGAATTCATCATACACTATAAACACATTATTGTTGATGTTTTTGTTTTAATTTTCAGATACTTTTCTGACAACGCAAGCTTGAGATAATTTGGCATAAACGCCTTCAAAGATTTGTCTACAATTTTGGTTGTCATGGTTTCAAATCATGGGTTTCGTTTTGTCACTAGAAAAGGTAGGGCAAATTTTTTCGCTGTCATAAAACCACAGCGGCTCAAGGGATTTTTAATACATTAACTAAATTGACAGTAAAAAACTAAACTAGCAACATTTTTTAAGGCATGTTGAACCAAATTTTAATATTTTGTTGTTTACTATCTGTTGTTCAGAGATTGCCCATTCTGTATAATTGTTCCAATTCACATTTTCCAATATCTTCGTCAACAGCGTTTGTTTTGTTTTTTGGTGAGTTCTTCCCCCTTCGTTCAATGCCTTTGGATAATCCCAAACGATTTCATTGTTGGAATTCAGTGTTTACAGGTCCATTATTGATAATAGAAGACTCTAATTTTCTCTTTTATTTCTCTTATCTAAACTATTTAATCCCTTTCTAAGTCTTCGTATTTTGAAAGAAATAACCTCGATCATCTTTAGAATAAAATCGTTTTTACACGTTTAGGTGTAAAGCTCTTCAGCTCTCAATACTCCATACAAATTAATAGGCACCTAATCAAAGTTGTGCTCACTAAGTCACGAAGTGAAAAAGCATTCAAATAATATCTATGTTGAGGTACAAGTCACTAAGGGACTTGTATCCAAAAGACTTGGTGAGAAATATTTATGGGAAGTAATGGAACTAGGGAATATTTCTTGACTCAGTGAGATTCACTGAACGTTGAATGATTATCAGACTTATCCAATTCCACCATGACCTGAATTTTTGTATATTTTGACTTAGTGAGTTTTGGCATTGAGCTCACCCAATAATACTCAGGACTCACCTTCCCTTCATCGACATCATCGATGTACTTTTGATGCCTGGCCGTACCCATGTTCATGACGGAACTCTTGAAGAGCGTATCGCCGACGGTAAATTTGATGGTCGCCCCAGCATTCGAAGAGAACAAAATCCTGGTGGCGGCAGTCGTCCGCTTCAGATCCATAATCTGATAATTGATCGAGAAAATGTCCATGCTCTTCTGGGCCATACATTGTTTGAATGCGATTCGTCTTTGGTCGTCGAGCGATTTCGAAGATGAGTTCCCTTCACTGAAATCCGGGTGATTTCTCAACACTTCATAGCCTTCAGTCTGGAAATAATACATGGATTACCTATAGCGGATTACACTTGTTTTTTATGTTAGACTTTTGACATTTGGATCGAGGATATAGTTCCTTCTTACCCATATTTTCATGAAAAATCGATTTAATATCACTTCCGGTTTTACCGGATATTTCTACGCCATTCGATGTATGTATGTAGGTATGTGGATGATTACCCCGAAAATTAGTAATTTGTTGTAAAATAGGTAGAGTACCAAATTGGATTCATGGGTATGTGTTGAATATCTGATATTGTTGAATTTTTCTCAAAATATATTTCATTGTTCATTGAAGAAGGCTGAACATAAATTATATCATTGTGAAAAAACCATCATGAACCAACTTATTTGAATGATAATAAGTCAATATAATAGTTGAAACCATAAAAAATGTCATGAAGAAAAAAATATTATTTATTTTTCAATATCAAAGTATATCTCTCAGTTAATGTAGTCATTACCGTGTGACCACCAAAATATCGAATTTCGGAGAGGAGATGAATGTTGAAAATTTATAATGAGGTGCTACAAACAGGTTGAATCATGTCAGTTACAATTCTGGAGTGGAATAGGATGTAAAATTATATATTATCGAAGTGGTTCGAGGTTTTGTTGACTAAGTGAGGTCTGTACCCTGACAGACAGTCATTCCCGAGGGGCGTAAAAAATACATTTCCTTTTTTTATTCAAATGCAATATACTAGCCAATGATGCCTCCAAGACCCATTAATATTGTTGAATTGATCACATCTAAATTCACTCTCATCACTCATCACTCCCATGATGTTTAGTGTCACGGCTCACGGAAATGATTTAATATTTACGGGAATGATTTTCACTGCCCAATATGAAGTTTTATACGGTTTTATACTGAATATTTTTGAAGCATAAAATTCTGATGTCTCCTAGATACAAAGTTAAGAAGAAATACTACAAAAAAGAGAAAATTGGAAAATGAGATGAGAAGGAAGATGATCCTTTCAAGAGGAAAGAACAGAGGCTAAAGGAAAGGGAAACATTTTTGAGACAAGAAGAAAAAGGCATAAAGAAAACTATTGTGGATAAGACACTGGGACACTGTGGGAAAAGATTCAACAGTTATTTATTTTCATCGTCACCAGAAAAACATCTGCAAAATCAGACATCAACAATAATATCCATTCGATCACTCTCATATACTCAAGTACTACATTCATTGTGATTCATCCAAAATTTCATTGAATTTTGGAGCGTTTATCTAGCAATTGAACGAAACTTATTTTGTCATTCTCAACTTACACGCCTAGCGCCTATCTCGCTAAGGAAACCTTCCACGACCTACGACCATTCAATGAAACATTCCCTTCGACTCTAAAATGAAAAGAGTGAGCATGCTGTTTGGGCTTATACCTAGAAGTGCTGACTTAGCAGATGGTAGATAGTGTAAAGACTCCGAATAGCTGAACTAAAAGTTTTCAGTACTCCCAGGCTCTTGAAACCACCCCGTTCATCGCCTATCCAAAAATAGCTATAGGTATCTGCGTTCAAGAGTATCTGAAGAGAACTCTTCTGTGGCTTGCCAAGATGCCACGTTCCTAATTAGAGTGCTTTTGCGTTGCAAAGAGCTACAGCAGACATTTTCTTTTTCAATAACATATCACACGCAACAAGCGCCGCAGGCGAAATTTTGCTGTTGTTCAAGGTCAAATGCCTTTAAAATGATCGTTAGGTTCAAATTCAGTTTGTTTTATTCACCTGGAAATTAAAATTTTTCAAAGACGAAAAAAATCAAATTATAAATTTCAAGTTTGTTACTTCTACTAAAAAAAAAATGCTTGAGTGTAATTCGGTGAGACGATTCAATGAATACGTAAATCACATTCTTGTTGCGATCAAAATCGCGACATTTCCACTAATTATATACTTTTCTGACGATGAGGCAAAGTTTGAGAAAATATTACATAAACACCATCACATATTTGTTTAGAACTTTGGTTGTCATGCTCTCAAATGTTAAGTTTTCGTTTTGTTGCTGGAAAACTTTTTTAGCGGCCATAATGACAAAATCACAGCGGCTTACATGATTTAATATACACTGATTAAAAGTGCCAAAATGAAAAACGAACTTGTACAGGGTGATTCACCATAAATGTCCCCCCTCTAGCTCACTTATTTTTGAACCGTTTGAAAAATTTGAAAGATAATCTAAAATGATTTTTCAGAAATTTTTTTCCCGTTGCATCAGAAAATACAGGGTGCTCGGAACAAACGATCTACAGGGTACTAATTGATTTTTCAAAATGGAACCCCCTGTATTTTATTGTATTTTTAGATTCTTCCTGAAGAGCTGATTTCATCAATGTATCACAATTGGGGTTTAGCGGGAATGATTACAGAGATATAGGGTGTTACAAAAACGAGAAAAAAAATCGAGATTTTCCAACTTTAGGATTTTTTTGTGCCGAAACTATTTATTATTGGTCAAAACGGCTTCTATGTTCCCATCTCAACTTTTGATTTACTATCTAGTGAAATTCAATTGGAACATTTACAGGGTGGTTCGAGAATCAGAATTCTGGTCACCCTGTATCTGTTCCAATTATTAAATGTCAGTAGATAGTGAATCAAAAGTTAAGATACGGACATGAAAACCGCGTGACCGATAATGAATAGTTTCGTCACAAAAAAAATCCTAAAGTCAAAAATCTCGATTTTGAACACCCTATATCTCTGTAATCAGTCCCGCTATACCCCAAGTGTGATACATTGATGATCAAATCAGCTCTTCAGGAAGAATCTAAAAATACAATGAAAAATAGGGTGTTTTATTTAAAAAAATCAAATAGTACCCTGTAGATAGTTTGTTCCGAGCACCCTGTATTTTCTGATCTAGCAGAAAAAAACTTTATCGAAAATCATTCAAGATGATATTTCAAATTTTAAAATCGGTACAAAAATAACTGAGCTAGAGGGGGGGACATTTATGGTGAATCACCTTGTACGCTGCAGTTTCGGCATTTTTCAGTTTCAGGAAGAAATAGAGTAGGTACTAGTTATATAAGGTACAAGTTGAATGAAATAAGATTCATTTTGTGAATCCTAATGATAATTTTGAATGGAATACAGAATTTTCTTCGATCGTCTGGGGGGGGGGGGGCATCACAAGTGGACATTTTTTTAAATATGATGTTGCAGGAGACATTGTTTCTATAATCAATCCTTGGGTGATTAGATAGTAAATATACAAGCACTTTGATTAGTTTTCGATGAGAATGCGAACATATTGATTCATCGCCAATCAGGATTCCTCTTAGTAATTCTTTCAAATTACATTCTTTCGGTTGAATTTTCTTTGAAATTCTAAGTAGGAAATGTACTTTTTCTAAATTAACATGAAAATATGAGTCACTATCTACAGATGAATGCTCGACACACTACGCCGGCCTGTTGTTTCTATTTTCATATATAATACCACAAGTGATAATATTTTGCCGGAAATATTCGTTGATTGTTACGACAGGTTGTTGCCTAGTAATTTCGTGAATGACATTGTTACCAAAACTACGAGCCGTAGGCGAGTAGTTTTGGATCAATGTCATGAGCGAAATTGGAGCAGCAAGCTGGAGTATGTCAATCGACGAATATTTCCAGGAAAAATAGTATCACGAGTTGTATTCGTATGACTTTTTCATGATTGAATGAGACAAAATATATATAAGAAATGGGAAACATAATTTAAGTATATTCCAACTCGAACTGCGAAGAAGAACATAATGATAGTAATAAAATACAGAATTTACTTTTTTAGAAATTAACTACCTACTTATAGTTATTCACAAAGTGGAATGTACAATTTTGATAAACAGTATTTTTTTATTATCTTGGAGATGGTTGCTCTCAAAAGAGTGTTTACAATTGCTATCCAATTCAAACAAAATAAATTGAATTTATGTGATATGGAATAATTAAAAAAAAAAAAGATATCGTCGCCGAGGGCTCGAACCATCGACCTTCGTATCCTCGCGCAACAACCCTAACAGTTGCGTTACATCAGCTAGTAATTATAACAGTCAGTCACAATAACTTGAGTAATTGAAGAAAATCACTTCAAAAAGGAATTTGGATTCTATTATTGTTGTGTCAAATATGCAAACTTTTCAAATTACACATTAAACGTCCAGCCAGAATAAAATTGTCTCACCTTTCGTACAAAATATCTCACTAACGCGAATTATAAGTAAATAAAATAAAGTAGGAACTTAGGTTATTGTCTCAGATTTGAATCCAAAGCAATCTTGACCAGACAGGATGTCAAAATTTTATCGCTGATAAACGAGCTTTGTTGGTCACGTGTGGGCCAATTCGGCTTCTGTATTGGTAGAGCAAGTCCGATAAAATTTAATAAACAAAAAATATCGCTAGAATACAGAAGACACCGTGAAAATGGTTGGTTCTGATTGGTTCTCGAGATCAAGAGTGGAATAGTCAATTTAAAACTCATTGGACGTTATGTGTTATTTTAAAAAAAAGTATCATCTACTTGAAATTTTGAAAAAAAAAACTGAAAAAAAATTTATTTTTATAGAATTACTAATAGAAATCATGATTGACGATTAGTCATAATTTTTGCAAGATTAAACAAAAACTAATCAGATTGCTTCGTTTATATGCCATTTTATTAGAATTCCCTAGAGGTCCCTATACCGGGTGTCAACGAATCTATTAGACAAGCCACAAGCCATTACTTATCTAGAATACTGGATATATCGAAATGAAATTTAATATAGTTATACTAGCTGACCCGGCAGCGATTTTACTAAATATAAACTATTGCAGCACAAGACACGCCCACCATAATACGTCATATCTCATACTGTGCTCCAACGCAAGAACTGAAGCTTTCTCGTTGTCAATCTCTTGTACGCAGTAAATTCATACACCCAAATGGTCTACTGGTTAGCGCTGTCGACTCTCAGTCTGAAGGTTCATGGTTCGAATCGCTGTGAACT